CTAGTCTTCATCTTCGACTCGAACGGTGTCGCGCACCGCGCAATTTGTGTTTCGCTGGCTTACGGCGTGCTCAGCGCGCTGTACCGCGCGACGCTGATGGAACGCGCGCTGCATGACGTGGACGGCAACAACAACGAGCTGCAAGCGAACCTGAACGTAGTCGGCATACTAGTGCTGCCGCTGTTCGTGCTGCTCAGTCGCGAGAAAGAGTTTTTCTACTACGTCCCGAGAGGCAACTCGCTTTGGAGTTTTTTGCTGTACAGTTGCTTCTCGAGCCAGACACTACTGCCGATTCTCAAAAACGTCGTGAGCAACAGGCTGATTGCAAACACAGGCCAAGTTCCGTGGCGCGTGCTCGAAATTGTAGCGATGGTGCTTATCTTCGTGTTCGGCCAGCTGGTGCAGCGCCGGGTGACGTTCGCGGGCTGTCTCGCGTTTTTGCTGGTACTCGCTGGTCGCACGCTAAACAACATCGACGCCATCGCGCAGGCCGCGCAGCAGACGCGCGAGGAGAAAAAGATGCACCACGCTGTGAAGCCCTCGCGCAAGCACCACGCCGATGCCGCGGCGAAGGCGAAGTCCGCGCCTGCCGAAGGTGCTACAGTGGAGACAGTTTAGATTTACGTCGCACAGCTACCAGACCGCCAAGGCACATGTTGGTAATTTAAATGATGTAATTTGCATGAGACATTGTAAAATATCTGAATTCCGTCTCTCAAGCAATTCGGCATGAGACGAAGTCTTGCAAGATCAAGCCACTGCGTAGTCGGCGCGTTGATCGCTGCGGTGATGCGTTTCGAGAATATCGAGCCTGCCGCAGAGCACGTCGAAAGGAGTGTAGTGCAGGGTCCGACGGCGCAGGACGTCGACGCTCGAAAGAAGCGCTATGCGTTGGCGAAGGCTCACGCGGATTTATACAGCAAAGACTCTGTCTTACCGGTATTCACGCCGCCTTTGCTACCGCCTGCGACACCCGCGACCGTCGCTGACGACGACGACGATGTGTCGACACCGGAGCCGCGCGCGTCGCCCAAGCATGGCGTGCTGCCGAGTCTCGTGTTCAACTTAACGCTCGTCGGACTCGCAGTCTACTTTTTCTTCTTCTCGCACCCGGGGACTAGTTTGCTCCGCTGGCTGCATAGCAAGCTGTGTTTTTTCCTGCCGCAGCGAAAAGCGAACCCGACCATCGACGACGTTGACGAAGACAATGAGAACCTCATCATCTTCTCGCCTCCGTGTCAGGAAACATTCTACGCAGCGGCCGCGCCCGCTTGCTACTACCACGCGCCGGCGCAGCCGCAGATGTACGCGTACCCCAACTAAGTCACACGCGTGAGTAAATTCACAAAAAAAGCGCGCTAGCGGAAAAAGGCACCAATAGTGCCTCGCAGCACGACCCACACGCTCATGTACCAAGGGATGTCGAGGTAGCCGTCGACTTTTTGCTGGTATTGCTTCGACTTCTCAGTGAGACTTTTTTGCAGCGACTCGTCGAGCGCGGCTTGTCGCGCTTCGAGCTGCGCGATCTGCTCCGGCGTCATGTGGCTGCGGCTCAGCCTAACTAGCTCCTGCTGCGCGGCACGATACTCCGCCGCGCGCTCGCGCGTGAAGAACAATTCAATCATGTTCTTCCTATCTACGAAGAATTTTTCGCACGCTTTGATCCAGCGCGCGCGCTGCAGCTCGCACTCGGGTACGTTGCGCAGCATCAGCTTGCGCGAAAACTCGCCGAGCAGAATGGTGCGCGTGTTCTTCAGTTGGTCGTAGTTCGACGCCTCCTGCTGCACGAGGTGGATCAGGCGGTCCACTTCTTCCAGATCGCGCAGCTCGTGCACAGGCGAGCGCAAAATGTGCCAGTCGTAAGGATGCTTTAGCTCGCTCAACTTCACTTTGCGGATCACTTCGTTTTCTGTAGGCGGCGCAACAGCGCCGAGGTCGAAGTCGTGCGGGATTGGGAACGGGTAGCTTTCCGGATTAAACGTCTGCTCCTTCATCTGTTTGCGCTTTTCGGCGCCGATGTTGTAGAACGCGATCGTGGCGTCCTTGTCGCTCGCGAGCAGTTCAGCAAACTCTGGCATCTTCACGAAGTTGCGCGAATCCGTGCGGAACATGTCGAACGGCGGGTAGACGATCCGCCGTGTGGCGTCCTCGATACTTTGCAGCTCGGGACGGTCGGAGCGCGCGTTGATGGTCCCGTTCAACGAGCGCGCAAGTTCGAGGTTGTAGGGCAGGCCGCGACTCTGCAGCAGCGCGACGACGTACTGCGCCTGCTTCACGATTTCTGCGTCCTCCGGCGGGAACTTGTCGAAGCGTTTGCGCAATTCTTCAGCTGTCACAAAGCCCTCGACACCGTTGAACACAATCGCGCGGAGCGCTTTCAGCTCGCCGCTCGAAACGCGCGGCTCAGTCTTAAAGTCGCGCGCGAGCAGATGCTCAAACGTAACGTCGCTGCTGCCAGACACGGCGGCGAGAGCGTGGTTTTCGGCTGCAAGGTCGACGATAGGCTTGCTGTTTGGCAGCGCTCGGATCGGCTTCGCCGCGCGCTCTGTGGGCGCTGGCGCAAGCGGGTGCGGAACTTCCTCCGAACCGAGCACCGCGCCTAGGTCCATCACCGGCAACGCCGCAGCGCTCAGCAGTGCCGCACAAAGCGCCGCACCGCATCCATGCAGCTGCGACGCGCTTTGCAACTCCTCCCATTTGAGTCTCATTCCACTAGGAGACAATTGGCATGTAAAATATTTTAATTACGCCGCCATGCACAATCGCTGCGCGCCTCTTTAGTGGCGGTCAGCAGGGTTGCTGCGGCTGCGTTTCGCTCCGCGGCCGCCGCAGCGCTCCGGCTCATCGCGCCGAGCGCGGCGAAACCCTCCGCGGCCCTCCTCGGACCGTTCGCGTTCCATGAACTGAATGGGCTGGTGCCGATTTACGGTGTACTCCGCGTGTTTTTCGTACATTTCCTTCAAGAGCCTGCGACGCAAAACGCGTGGCAGATGCTTCAAGTGCACAAAGTTGCAGTAGCCGCCGCGCTGACAGCGGCCCTCCATGAACTGTTTGCAGCGGCACTGGCGGAAGTCGTGCACTGGGCTGAACTCCGCTAGCACGGGCGCAGCATCCTGTTTTGTCGCGACCAGGTGCTTCATAGCTTTCGCCGCGCCGTCCTCTGTCGCGTACTTTACGTACACGTTGCCGATCATATGGTCGCCAATGTTGTCGCAGCACAGCAGCTGGTCGAGCTCGCCGTGTTCCTCGAAGGACTTCCAGAGCTTGACGTAGTACGCCTCAAACTCCTGCTGCGCAGCATCGGCGACCTCGTCATCGACATCTTGGCCTTCGGCGACCGCAAGCATCACCGGCGAGTTTTTGTAGAAGTGTTTCAGCAAAATGGTCGTCGAGACGGCGGGCCGGTAATGTGTGCGGCTGCAATGGTCGCCGTGCCGGCAAGCGCCGATTTTCCAGTAAAACGGGCAGTTGATGCTAGAGCTTTGTGCGCAAGACTTACCGGTCGTCTTCTGTGCCGAGAATGCGCGCCAACCTATCTGCCATGACTGTGAAGCTACATTGATAAATATCAATAATTTGCGGAACGAGCCGGGGCCGCCCCGCAGGCGGAATTTTCGACCACCTGCACCAGCAATTTCGGTGGCGAAAAAGAAGATGGCAAGGCCGGGCGGTGCAGACAGCTTGATCTCGCAGCTCGCGCAGTGGACCAAGCGGAACCAACCGTTCGTAAAGCCTGAAGAATTTGTCGAGCTGCAACGAGTAAGTTTCCAGCGGGCGCTCCGCAGTTGCTGAGCGCGCTGCGCACCTCGCAAACCGCTGGCGCAGCTGCGATCCAGTACCGGCTGCACCTTCCTGCAAGCCGACAAGAGAACTATGAGCAGCTCCAGGAACTGCGACTGCGGCACAAGGAGCTCAACGCGCTGTTCCACCAGGCATGTATGCTTAACGAGCAGCTCCGCAGTGAGGTCGCGCACTTACGCGGACACGTACGTGCCGCGCCGGCGGCACTGCCGGCCGGCAAAAGCAAGCCAAACCTTCGCGCAGACTTGGAGTGGATGCCGTTGCGAGCAATTGAGAGGGTCGCAGCAGTGGACGTTTACGCCGAGCCAGAAACGCATGAGACAGCTAGCGAGCGCGAATTGACGGAGCTGCGCAACGTGCAGGACGCAGTCACACTCCGTGTGCTGCAGCTGGTGACGCGCTTTGCGCGCAACGCCGACACGCCGCCGGACGCCGCCGCCGCAGAACTCTCGCCGTTAGAGAACTTGGACGTGATCGAAGCCCACTTGGACAACTTGAACGCACAGCTTGCGAACAGTCGCTACCTGCATACGCGGCTCGCGCAGCTGGAGAACAAGATATTCCAGCTTTACCAAGCGGAAAGCGCGAGGCGGGCGGAGATCGACGGCGTCGCGGAAGTCAGCGAAATGCCGGGCGGCTCGTTTGCGCCGCACATCTTCGCCGAACCCGCCGCGCCTCCGGCCGCGCAGCTGGCAGATTTGCAGCGCGCAGTATACGGGGTCTCGACACACCGCGAGCTGGACAGCGACTTCGACAGCACGCGACCCTACGTCGGGTCGCACCAGTTCCAAAATCACGCAGGCGACCGGCAAAACTACCTGCTCCGCGCGCTCGCGAACGTCAACGCGGATTTCAGCACGGTGTACTCGCGCTGCGCCAAAACAGTGGGCGTGCCGGAACCGTCGGACGGCGAAGAACCGCCTGACGGCGCGGTTCGCAGCGCCGAGCCTGCAGCCGCTACGTTTCCGAGCGAACCTTTAGTAAGCGGAGCTCATCCGCAGCGGCCCACGTTTGCACCGCTCGACGCCATCTCTGCCTCTAGCGCTGCTACACCGAAGGCGCCGTCGCTCGCGCAAGCAAATGCGCTTGCGGTTGGTGTCAAGCAGAAAAGTTTCGGCGTCACTAAGAAACCCGAGCCCACTATACCAGCTAAAGGCAAAGCAACAGCGCTCGCTACTGCCAGCAGCAAGCTTACCGCGCCACTGCCTGCGGCAGCAGCTACGATACTTAAATCGCCCTCAGCGGATCACGCAAAGTCTCCAGCGAAGCCTCCGCCAATGGCTCACATGAAAACTCTTGTGAAACCTGTTCCAAAAGAGCAAACAAAAGCTTCTCTAAAAGATCCTCTGAAGACTCCAACGAAGCTTCTCGCAAAAGCTCCTCTGAAGACTCCAACGAAGCTTCTCGCAAAAGCTCCTCTAAAAGTGCCGCCCAAAGCTCCACTACCAAGTTCACAACTTGCTCAAATGAAAAACCCAGCTAAGTCGCCGCTGAAAGTTACATCAAAGGCTCCACTAGGTAACGCACTTGCCGCGGACACGTCAGAATTCGCACCGTCCGTAGAGCCAACGGCTCAGTCGGGCGCAGGTCAGCCCGCGGAGTACACGACGACGCCGAAGACGAGACCGCCTGCAGCACTTAGAATGAACAGCTCGACGAGCACGCCGCCCGAAAACAGCGCTATGTCGACAACTACGGCCAACGCCGCTGCTGGAAACGCTGAGCACGAATCTCCTACGTCGCTCAGTACAAATGCACAAAGCTCGGGCGCGGAGCAGCTAGAACCAGATGCCGCGGAGTCTCGCGAGCAAGCAAGTGATGCGGATCAGGGTCCCAAGAGCAAAGGGCAGACTTCTGCAACGCACAATGCAGAAAGCGTTTCTGCGATAGACCGTGACGCAAACAACACAGTGCGCGTCACGCTCGCCGCCGACGCGACAGAAGGCAAATGGGCGCCGGCCGTTGCCGCAAAAAAAAGCGGCCCCATCGGCGCCAAATCGCTGCCGGTTTCCGGGATTGGAAAATTCGCAGCAAAGAAAGCAACGCCTTTGTCGCCTGGAAAGCCGGGCAACCGCGCGGCAGCGGAGCGCGGCACCGAATCGCCGGAGCACGCTCCTGTCGTACTTTCCAGAGACTCGCAATTCGAGCCTGCAGCGCCGGCAAAGAAGAGCGCTGCAGTAGCGCCTGCGCCGGGGAACGCGGCAGACGCCGCGTCTCCCGCTAGTAAAAACGGCGTGCCTGGCGCAGCAATTCAGCCCCTCTTGAAGAGAAGCGTGAGCGTCACAGCGACTGCTGTTCCGATCAAGACAGTGGCGTTCGCTGCGCCGCCTGCGGTCGCCGCATTGGGCTCTACTGCAAAGAGTGTCACCGCGAACGAAACGTCAGGCAGCGTCGGTTCTCGCGCAACAGCGAAGAAGGCGCAAACGAAGTTAGGGGCGCCCGCCAAAGCAGTTTCGGCGCAGCTAACCAAGACGCTGCCAACAAAACGCGAACCAGCCGCGAAAGCTACAACGCAGACTCTCGCCGCAGATTCTGGGGCGTTACACGCAAACGCGGACAAGGCGAGCGCAAACAGCACAATGGACGTCGACGCGCGGTTGGCTGCCGATTCCGGCAACTCCGTCGGTTCCGTCGGCTCCAGTGACGCCGGCGAGTTAACCACTGCGTCGCCGAGCAACACATTAAGTGATGCGTCGGCGTTGACGGGCGACGGCACTGCCGCAGAGTCCGACGCAGAAACCGCGTCAACGAAGAAGGCGGGTCTGCCGTCAGCAAAAAAGTTTCCAGGGATCGGCAGCGGCAAAGCCGGCGTCGCGCCGCTGCCACAAAAGGTCGCGAAGGTGGTAGCAAAATCGTACGTCAGCATCGCGAAGACAGCCGATCAAGCGCCGCGGCTACTCAAACTCAACTCGTTTGCGGTAAAGTCGCAGCCTAGCTTTGCGGCCGAGCCGCCGGCCGCGTCGAAGCTCAGGGCATCGCCGACGCAGGCTGCGTCCGTGGAGCACAGCATAACGACCGCTGCCACAGCCGCAGCCGATGCTGATGAGCCTGCGAAAGCGCAAGCGTCGAAAGGTTTCATCAGCATGGAAGACTTTAACGAGATCAAAGAGTCTCTGTCGAACGTGATTGGCGGAAACTTCCTCGGGAGCATTTTGGGCAAGCGCGATGACCTGTCCGATGCGCGTTAACGCGCGGCGTACAGCGCGGCGCAGTGCCAGCCTATTTGGTAGAGCAGCACGAAACAGGCGCCGCGCGCGACAATGCTGCGCGCGTTGTTCAGCAGCAAAAAAAGGCACGTGAGCAGCGGTCGGTAGCGCTGCGTGTTCGGCAGCAGGCTGCACAATATGTCGAGCGCGCTGCTGCGCAGTTTGCCGTTCCGCAACGCGCAGTTCAGGGCATGCACGCCACATTCCGCGAGCAGGAACAGGCCAAACGGCGAGAGCGGCAAACTCCCGGCAGCCCCGCCGACTTGCTGGCCGCGTGCGAACCGCGTGCCGCAAAATAGTGCGCAGAGCAATTCTGCGAAAATCAGCGCGCTCTGCAAGGCACGCAGTGCGCCGCCGGCGGGCATACTGCGGTCTGCCGAAACGCCCGCGCCGCCGCCCGTGTGCAGAGGCCGCGACACGTCACTCGCCTCCGCAGCGTTCGCGCCGTCCAGCAAATCGAAGCCTGAAACGTCGTTCGCGGATAGTCCGACCTGGTTCATGCGCGAACGGCAGTTCTGCAACACTTTTTCGCGGCGCGCTTTCGCGCGCATGCGCAGCTCTTCGGCAGAACTCCCGGCCGAAGCGGACATGTAATTTTCGCTAAATGAATTATTACTGCTATTTCGAGCAGCAGAATGGAGCACTACCGCGCGTTCGTGGCCGAGTACCGCGCTCTCCAGACGGAGTTTCGCACGGCGCTGCCGGCGGCGTGCGCGCCGCATAGCGGCGCGGACTGCGCGCCGCTGCAGCGCCTCTGTAAAGGTGCGCTGGCCACGCCAGCGGACGTGCTGGAGGCCGCACAGCAGGCGCTGGAGCAACTGATCCCGTTCGCCTGCCAGCTTCGCAGCATGGCAAAGCTCGCGCGCGCGGCGCGCGGACGACGCGTGTCGTTGCGCGACGCGTTCGCCCTCGCGAAGCGCATCGCGCCGTATACGCTGCCGCCGCCTGAGTACGCGGACTACACGGGCCAAGACCCGAACTGCTTGCCAGGGCACTACTTCCCGTGTCCAGACCGCATCATGATCATGCGCAGCAAGTTCGACCTCGCGCTACTGAACACGCCGAACATCGCGTGTCTGCAGCCGAAAATTTCGTTGCAGCCGGCGCCAGACGACCCTTCCGCGTACGCGCTGCTCTGCACTTGCGCTACGCAGAACGCGAAGGTGCACTTCGCTGTAGATCTCGCGGGCTACCAAGTAGTAAGTGCGCGCCGCGCCTCCGCAGTACGATGCGGCTTCGCCGCCAAAGCTGCTCGCGCAGAACGAATACAACGTGAGCTGTTTCGCGACGGCGGAAGGCTACCTGCCGAGCGCGGTGGTTTACGCAAAGTTCAGCTGCCCTTCGAGCGCGCACGCGGCCGGCGCAGCGCCCGTGCCGAATCCGCCCTCTGGCAGCGAGCAACTGCCGAGTCTGTTTCTCGAAACGGACTTCGACAGCGACGAAGATTTTTAGTGAAACTGCGGCCAATTTTCTCAATTATCTATTTGAATAATGCAACTCGAAAAAGAAGCGATTCTGAAGGCGCGCGAAGAACTG